TGTGCGTTGAAAAATGTATGATGAATCACTTAAATTTTCAAATTCAATGCTTTATTTACAGAGAAGCCCCTTTCCACAGAGGCCTGTTCATGTGACAAGATAAGAATACTTGTCACAGTGAATACTTGAATAGTGAAAATATACATTTTACTATATTTATATATATATATATATATATATATAATTTATTTCCAAAACAATATGATTAATTGATTATATTCTCTAAGTTTAATTAAAGTGGAATTATTTTAAATGAGTGAATCCATACTGGTAGGTTATATTTTGAAATACAGTACAAAGTCCGAGATCCGGACATCCAATATCTGGAATGATCTAAAATCTGGACCTCAAAGCCACCACCAACCAACTTTTTAGGGCTTTTTTGGAGGGAAGAGGTATGCTTTACGCATGCGCATTACATTTTTTTCCTCATCATAAAAAAACATGCCGGAAATCCCGATTCTTAATCTCAGTTTGGCGCTAAATAAAATATCTCATTATTGAAGAAATAATTATTTTAGCATAAATTTGTGTGATTAGTTTAGTAACTTGACTCCATAGCTGCGTATCTGCTTGGCATAATCTCAAAAACCGAAACATTTGATTAATTTTACACCAACTAATATTTTATATCCTTGATGCCGAAATCGCGAATCATTATTTATTGTATTTTGCTTTCATCACCGCATGTTTATCAACGGATGACAACTTGAGTGATGAATCATGCAGCGATGCCAACATAACAGAGTACTATCCGATTACAGATTTAGATTAAGTTTAATGCGCTAAAATGTTGACAAGGGGAGATTTAGCAGAAATTTCTTTCCTTATGCTAAAAATAGATTTTGTTAATGATACTCATAGGACAAACGATTATATTTAGTGCTATTTGAATTAAGAATAACTGATTTGTTATTCACATAAAGCAAGAACCAGCGCCAGAGCTCGCATGGGCCGCACCAGGCGGCAGAATTTAGCGAAGTTAAACAGAAGTTTTTCACTGTGATGACAATGCCCAATCATCAATCAATTAACGGAGGGCGAAATCTGTAGTATGGTTCTAAATCCAGAAAATACAGCTACCGATAGTGAAGAAAGTAACAGAGAGGTTATTGAACGAGAAAAAAATTTTGATTGACAAGTTATTCGGAATTCTCGACACAGTAATTACAGGACTTGAAAAAAATGGAACTTAATAACTGAACAAGAAATTAATGTCTATAGTATTAGTCTAAGAGAAGAGACAAAAAACAAATCAAACAACTCACATTGAAAGAAATGTTTAATAAAGTAAACATATAAATATTAAGCTCTTTTCTTTTGTAAATTTTGATACCCTTTAAATCATAAATGCTTCATTATTTCATAAATCACGATTTCATATTTTCAATTTTATAATTTCTACGTTCCATCTTAGTAGATTTAAAATGATCTAATATCCGGAAAAATCGCAAATCTGGTATCGCCGAAGTCCCGATGAGTCCAGACCTCGGACTTTGTACTGTATATATAATACGGAATGTATATTTTCAGTTAAACTTCTACTCAATAACTTTAGTAATTCATGAAAGTTAATTTTGCATCTAGTTAATTCAGGAAAATTAGTTTCAATTAGTTGTTTTCAGCTTTAAAAATATTTAAAAATTTTTAATTAGTTAGTTATTTTTCAACTAATAATTGTATCGCCATTAGCAAAAATTATGCATTGCTATATCAACAACATAGGTTTAAACCAAAATACTTAATTGTCTATTGAAGCTTCAAAACGTATTTCCGAACTTCACTTTTTCTCGGCTAGCGTTACCGATTTTGCCCTTGGCGACCTAAAATCGAAATGGAGCCAACAGATTTCCCGCGAAATCGATAACAGACCCTCTGCAGAAATAAACTCATAATTCCAATATCCCATACATATAGTATGTGCAAAAGAGAATAAACTCCGCAGAAGGTGATAAAAATTAATTTATGGCTTAATTAAAACAAACACAGAAATTAAGCTAAGCAAATTGAAATGATAAAACGAAACTTAATTTTCATGTGAAATTTTCAGCTCTGACTCTCCCATTCTAGAAATTTCAATTTGTTTCAGACAAAGACCACATTTAGCTTTAAGGAGCTTTGCCATCCATCAATATCCAGTCTTTGTAGTCAGCTTGATGAAGCCACAGCAGTTTATTGAAAATGCACTTTCCCAGGCTTCTCGTTCCTATTGGCGTCGGAAGGGTTGTGGCCTTCCAGGTTGGGATTGCTCTAATTTTGGGCAAATATTTTCAGAATCCCCCACCCTTTTTTTTCTTTTTTTCTTGAGCACCTTCATCATCACTTTCGCCTCTTAAAGAACTTCCGGCTTCACGCTTTCGCCACAATCTGCCTAAATTTATGGATAACACCTGTTTCGAAAGATTGGGTGAATAACCAATCAGACACCGATACTTTCGTTTGAGTAGCTAAATGTTTTTTTTTTTTTTTTTTTTTTTTTTTTTTATCGTTTCAAATGCAATCCGCCAACAGATTGGTTAAGAGCCGTGTAATTTTAATTCCATATTCATGAGAAATCGTAATTCACACTTAGAATGGCAATCATTAGAAATGATAAGAAATGTCAAATGAGCAAAATTAAGGACCATTTATTCATTTTGGCCAAAATTAAGGACTTTTAAGGATCAAAAATCATTTTTGAAAAAATTAAGGACTTTAAGGACCGTACGAACCCTGTAATTGGAAATTTATACAGTATGTTATCACATACTCGGCAAAAGTACTTTCTAATGTGGATATTAAACATATTTTTGTCTCCATCCAAGAGTTTTCCCACTACTTTGTTAGTTGCAACCCCCATTACAAAATCTTAAATCTTTCTTCCGATTTTAAATTTTTTCATAAATCACATAATATACAGGCTTAGAAGACGAAAACCAAAGCTGGTTTTACAAACTTTGATAAAATGTTTTAAACAAACAACTAATCATTGATTCCAGAATATGAATTAATGAAATTCTGCACTGTACAACTATGTTAAGAACATCCAATAATGGGAAAATGACACATACAAAAAAGCTTTATTAAGCTCTGAAGACAAAAATATAAATACTTGTTCTTCACAAGATAAACTACAGTAATCAGGAAATGTTTTCCTGGTCAAGCAACTTTTTTATTTTGGGAGAACTTCGTTTTACTTTCAAGCTTATATTTTGTAGTATTAATCTGAAAATTCTCCATTAAATTGCTCACAGGTGCAGAAATTACTTCTTTCACATGTATTTTTAACACTGAATGTACGAACTACTTCTTCATTTACTTTAGGTATTTCGTAACTTTCACTACAGACTTTTAGAAGCATTTACTTCTCCCTTAAAGAATGTAAGAAGTGGGTATCATTGGCTGAGGATTCTAGATAAACATTCCTCTAACGATAAATACAGTGTACATACGTTTCAAAAGTTTTCTTATTTTAATATTATCCAGCTGTTGGAATTGTTTCAATTTTTCCTTCCTTTTAGAACTCTTTTTAAGAAAATAATACATATCAACAATGTATTCATCCACATTTATAGGTAAAGAAGCTGCCCCCTTTTCAGCTGCTTAATTTAAAAGGTGACAGGTGCATCTCATAATTTGCAAATCTGAATTTTCTTTAAGATGCCTGCAACATTAGTCTTCAGGTTTACTATTACTGGTGCATTGTCGACATTAAGCGCTAAGCAATTATCCATACAAACTGCATTTTCTTTTAAAGCTTTAATAATTAGCTGTGCTATATTAATGCCTGTCAGATATTTTTCTAAAGTGGGGACAGAAAGTAAACTACACTCAATTTCTGAAGAGTCTGAATTGAAAAAAGAAACGACAGTTGGATACAGCTTTGCATCAGAGTTATTGCTTCCATCTATAGAGATGCAGAATGGAGCTGTTTTAATGCAATTAATAACTGAAGACTTATTTTCCAGACCATTCCTTTAAAAACAACTGCAATTTTTGTTCTTGCATTTCAGTATTTCTTAACGATTTTACAATCGAGAAATATTTTTCTAAATAAAGCCATAGCATGATCCAATGCATTCAGCAGCAGGTTACTCCAGTAAAGAGGCAGAGAACAGGCATTCTGCATTAATAACTTTTGGTATTTTGTTTGCTCAGAAAAGTTTATTATTATTATTCAAATGTAACTCATGTTGTCCTTGTGTTTTTGTGTACACACATGTTTAAGAATGTCGGCCCTTCCACCATGCAAAATCAAAAGGAAAAATTGTACACATTGCAAATATATTACATTTCCTTGACAAAATAATAGAAGGAAAGTCACTACGTGTACCATTTTTGAAAAGTACACATGTGCTTTACCTTTTTGGCAGACTTTACTTAGACAGATCACAATTTCAACTCACAATGCTCAATCGTGAGACAAACAAAATAACAACCTTGAGCTTGTTTCGCGCTTAGTGGCTAATGTATGCCACATGAGTAGCAGTGGCACTTGATGCTTCACTGGAGAACTGGAACACAATGTTTTCAGATACAATGCAAAAGTATCCCATAATGTCTCATATACAAAGCAAAAGCATCCCATAACGTCTCCCTGATGAAACTTTGGTTTCCTTTTATAGGTAATCTAAAGAAAAATTTAATACTTTCAGAAGCCAAAAATTACTTTTCTGGGTACAAATAATGAAGTATTAAGCTAAAAAGCCAAGCTACATATAAATTGTGAAATTTTAAGAACAAGTAAAAGTCTGGAGAACTAGATTGTAAATCAGGGTGGTAGGAGTAGAGTCAGGAAACGGGAGTCTCCTGCCTAAATTGGAAGAGTTGGCAACTCTGCTGTATACATATTTGGGTTACTAGATAAACACTTTTGCATAACATTGTAACATACCGTATGATTACTTTTGTGGTAACGTGGTACATTGCCTGATCAAAATATTTTGCAGTTTTTTTTTTTTTTTTTTTTTTTTTTTTTTGTGGCGCTGCAGATAATGAGAAAGTACCAAATTTTTACATACCTGATAAACTGGAGCCGGACTTCCATACTGACGGCTTGGTGGAGGTCCTGCATGTTGTAAAGTCATTGGCCTGTCAGGTGGTCTCATCCCAGGTCCAGGAGGGGGCACTGCACCCATGGCTCCTGGAGGAATAGGAGGACCACCAGCTCCTTGGGGAACTGCAGAAGGAGGGCCTGACTGATTAGGGACAGGTGGTGGTCCAGGAGGTGGTACAGGCACAGGTGTTGGGCCTGCAGGTGGAACTGCATTTCCTTGAACAGCAGCCTGAGGTGGGACAGGGTAGCCTCGATTCATATTAGATGCCATCTAATAAAATTATACACAAAATCAGCATCATAAAATGTGGAAGGTAATATATAACTGCACGAAAATTAATGTAATATAGAATAAACACAAAAAATGACACAGGAATTTATAACTATAATTTTTACTTTAGAACTAGCACTTCACTTGTATTTGCTTTATTGTACACACCTGCAATTTGAATTCATCATTCATTCACAAAACGTATAAGCTTTTCAATTTTAACTTTGCTGGTGCTTGCTTAAGTATACAGTGAGAACATCTATTTGAACTTAAAGACACAATTATGCTATTAAATCTTATCTCACAAAAACTTCTTCACATCAGGCCAGAAAGAGTTATTTTCTACTCAAAAAGTATCTTTATCTTACAAACACCATTTTAACACAGCTATGTTTCTGGTATTTCTATTTTGCTATACTTCTTTCATCTGTCATACATGCTGCACTCTTTGCAGAGAAAAAGGGAAAATTCTTCTACAGAGTACAATGCCGCTTGATTCATCATCCAATGCTGCAAATACCTCCTTGGATATATCCACCTAGATATTTAACTCATCCACTCATCAGATTTTTTACAGTACAAGTTTACTTCGCTGCTGAACATTAAGACATAACTTTTCTTCCTCTATATAGAGCAAACAAAGTGTGGCGACTCTAAATAAATGAAATTGTTTTTTATTTGCCAACTGTGTGGCCATATCTATGTCTGTAACAGTAATGGAGATTTCGGGATACTCGCACGTTTCATCGTCACTGCGGTCAGTCGGATTTTTACTCCGATGCAATCACCAGCAATATTAATTTTATGTGTAGTTGTTGTAATTAAAGTTTTTTTTAATTTAAAATTAACCTACTACTTCATGTTTAAAGTTCATCATGCAAAAAAATCCAGCACAATGCAACAACTGGTGACCCATGCATGTGCTCAATCGAAATGAATCCAGGCAATTTCAGAGGTAGTGGAGAACTTCTCTATAACAGTGTCTGGTGATAATGTGTGAAATGCATCTCAGCCAATACTTTTTTATCATTATGCATATTGGATTAGTTTTATGTATTTGTCAGCTACCATACTCCAGCAACATGAGAATGAATAATTTTTATGCACCAAGGTGATTTGTGATACATTGTCCTCGTTTCTTCCACAAAATGGATATTATCTGTGTGCATTCATCAAGTAGGTGAGTTTCCCCCCCTCTCCTCTCTTTCTCATGCTGCAGATCATTTGAACTTAGGTCCTAATCAATTGTTTAGTGTTTCTTCATGTTCACTGCAACTGCATTCCTGAACTATATCATTTTATTGATTTATTTACATGTATTATTGAAATGGTTACTAGCAATCCTCCAACCACTGATCACAAGCAAATGGCTCGTGTTACTGTGAAACTTGTCTCATTTTGCCATAATGACCCCAACATGTAGTTTTTTCAATTAGATGCAAATTCAAGCTCGGTATAACACGAGATTACATGAAATTTTATACCACAGTTTCTGCACTCAACACTGAGGTTCTGCAGTAAATTTCTGGGGCTAGTTCTGAAATCTCCTTAGATATCAAATATGAGGAATTGAAAAATAAATTAATTTCCTTATGAGTCTGAAAATACCAAACTAAAGAATATGTTTCAGGATTTGTAACTTGGCTATATACACCCACTCCAGTTATTGTCAAAAATGCACGAACTTGCAGGTGACAATTTTAAATGGCATGTTTTACAATCATGGTGTCTCAACCGTCTCCCGAGCAATATCCAGGCTTTTCTTACCACTAGTAACGAGAAACTACTCCAGCTGATCCAGATGGCAGACAAAATTCATGATGTGCTCCAGCCACAAGCAATTAATCAAATTCAGCATCCCATTGGTAATAATCACACCAGCAACAAATCCAGGAATTATCACTGCAAGGTTGCAGGCTTACAGACACAATCTCAGTATCACCCACATGGCAGATCAAAGTCCCAGAACTGAAATAATAGGGAATACCAATGCACACAGTCCTGTGAGGAAGAATAAATTTGTTTCTATCACTCCCGATTTGGTGATAAAGTGTGTAAGTATAAGCCTCCATGGGCAAATTCCAGCAGACCTCTTTAAGACCGTCACTTGAAGCAAAAAGTGACAGAGCCCAGTGCATTAGTCGATTATTTGTAACTGATAAAAACATCAGGCATGCGCTTTCCTGCTGATACAGGTGCTGACATTTCAGTTATACCTTTCTCTCCTGCCAAATCAAAACGGCTTCCAGGAAAATTAAACTTATTTGCAGATAATGGATCAAAAATTGCAACATTAGGAGAAATATTAATGTCTTTAGACTTAGGTTTGCATCACAAAATTCAATAACCATTGGTCATAGCTGAGGTTTCACACCCAATAACTGGTGCAGACTTTCTTCCAAAATTTTCTGTTTTGATCGACATCACAAATTTACACTTACTCGATCACACAATTTTCCACCGTAGATAGCATTAGAAATGATACTGATTTTGTAATTAAATTATTATCTGGTAATTACCCTTTCCACAAACTATTTAAGGTAAAAATATATTCCAGGGTAAACCCTGGGCAAAAATTGGCACTTTTTTTGGCACCGTTCCTGCTTATGTTGCAGTAAAATGGCGTTCAAACATAATGCCAAAAAAGAAAAAATATATAATTTCAATAAACTGCATTTTAAATCAAACAAGGAAATAACATAAAAATGGAAATACATGTTATCTAAACTACACAGTACGAAAAGAAAACACTTACTTTATTTAAAAATTACCGTTTCCTCGGTATGTGTGACACAGAGAATTCCTTAAAAAAATGATCTAAACTAGAATCTGTATACTGCTGTCACCACATAAATTCATAAAAGTAAAAATGAAAAATATCCTCCGGACTGTCGGTCGCATTTCTTTCGAAAATCCCTTTTTATTACACCCCATATATCTTCCATAGTGTTGATATACTTAAATCTCACTGCGTAATTTACCAAGAGGTGAATGAAGCCATTTAAATCTTCATTTAAACACCAGTCAATCAATGTTTTCTTTCCCAGTCATTCCAAAGTGCACGGAAACTTCAGGTTAATTGTACTACCAGCAAGCATTTTAAGGCATAAAACATAAAATAAGCAACGTACTTCCTAACCAACAACCAACACATAAATCAGCCCTTACAAATATTTTCCCATCAGTCAAAATCAATGGAGTCACACATTACAATCAATCATAGTCGGGGTTTCTATAACATTCAACAACTCAGGTTACCATAAATGAAACAACTTGGCAATAATCCAAGGGGGTACCCTAAAATATAGACTAACCTTATTTGAGCACTATCCTAATGCCATTCACTGAGTAACCGGCAAAGTAACTGCTGACCAAGATATCGTACATCACATAGAGACCAATGGACCACCAATCTTTGCCAAAGCAAAGTACTTCTTGAAAAATTAAGGGCCGCAAAAGAAGAATTTATATGTTGGGAATTTGTTGGTGCAAAAAAAATTCCTGGGCCAGTCCAGGAAAAATGGCGACTGGGGCCCTTGTGATGGTTCCCAAGGAAAATGGTGACTGGTGCCCTTGGGGCGACTACTGTTGACTTAATGCAGTTACTTTGCCTGAGAGATATCCGGTTCCTCATATTCAGGACTGCATGCAAGTCTTGGAAGACTAAAAATTTCTTTTCTATGTTAGATTTATTTGTGCTTATCATTAGATCCCATTCAACCCATCTGATATACCAAAACTGCTGTCATAAAAACCTTCTGGAATGTTCGAATTTCCTGTTATGATTTTTGGGTTGTGTAATGCCATTCAAACGTTTCATAAACAAAGTCCTTCAAGATTTAGGTTTCTGTATGCCATATTTCGAAGGTAATATTGTAGCTTTGGCAAATGAAAACAAGCAGCTTGAACTCCTTCATTTAATGCTCGACTGATTTCAGCTTTAGGGTGTAGTTGTTAATCCATCAAAATGTGTTTTCGGGAAATCTAAAAGTGTCATTCCTTGGTCATGAAGTTTCCTTGGGTGTTCGCCTGCTTAGTGATAAAGTCATTGCAATTCAAAATTTCCCAAAGTCCAAAACTGTCCAGGAGTTTGTGCCACTTTTCTGACCCTTTAAATTTTTATCATTACTTCCTTCCTCATGTCGCTGCAAAGCAGGCCCCTTTGCAAACATATTTCATCGGTAACAAGAAGAAAGATACACAGCCAATTATTTGTTCATCCGAATCTCATAGAGGCTTTGTACAATGTAAGGTTTACCTAACGTCAGCAATAGCTCTTAACTGCCCTTCTAAGCATCCTTTAGCATTAATGGTTGATGCCATGAGTGCGGTTTTGCAGTAACTTGTAGACGGAGCATGGAAGTCACTGGCATTCTTCTCAAAATAATTTTCTGCAACATATTCAAAATAGAAAACATATTTTCACAAACATTTTAGTACATACGAGGCAGTTAAACATTTGTGTCATATGGCGGAAGGTCGAATGTTTTCTGTCTATACTGAACACAAATCTGATTTTCATCTTCCACAAAACCCTGATACGGCCTATCCCATGCAAACGCATCACCTCGATTACATAGCACAGTTTACAACTGATATTAGGCATGTCAAAGGCCCTCAAAATATGGTTGCTGATGCTCTGTCCAGAAATGAAGAAGTTATTTGCCTTCAACAACAGACTTCTCCTCCATTGCAGAGTGTCCGAAACAGAATTCAGAATTTCAAAATCTTTTGTCTCATGGACTTAATTTATTACCTATGCAGTTGAAACCAAAACTTTTGCTGTACTGCAATGTGCAAGACAATATGACGTGGCCATACAGTTCATTGAAATTTCATCATAGTATTTTTAGCAGCCTTCACAATTTATCCCAGCCTGCCATCTGGGCTTCCCACATACTAATTCAACAGCATTCTGTATGGCCTAGCATGCGAGTGATCATTTACCCGAATATACAATAATCAAAATGACAAAATCCATTTATACACCACAGTAATTA